CCCCAAAACCCCAAAACCCCAAAACCCCAAAACCCCAAAACCCCTGATATAATTCTATTTATTGCAACAGAAAATATCTAATTAAGTTACTAATCTAAACTTATAATGGAAGGAAGCTTATTGAAGACATCCATATCAACTGATGCAGCCACTCTGCTTCCAGCTGAACCAACTTTGGATGATGCCGGATCTCAGGAAGCCCTTGGTAAGTCTCAATGCGCCTGTCGATCAGCTACTGTCAAACTTGTTGGCTCTTCACCAGAAGCTCTCTTAAATCTTGAATTAAGACTAATCTTTCATAGATCTAATGTTGAAAGCAAGAGAAAAGTTTGCAGAAGGAATTGCTTTGCTTAACGAAGAAGATTGGATCAGCAACAAGGTAATCCTGAGATCTAATATGCTTTAGGACGAAGAAAAAGCCAAATTCTGGGTAAGGAAACCTGATGAGGACGGATTTGGCTCAATCAGAAGAGAAGCTATCTTCAATAAATCTGCAGCTGATGTAGATGAATGGTTTAGCAAACAGGCAAATCTAGTTGATAGTAGCGATATTTTAGAATCAAGCGAAATTATTTCGGAACTCAACTCTGATTCTTTGCTGGTGAGAAGACAAATGAAGGGAAATGATACTTATGAACCTAGAGATCTTGCTGTATTCTGTAACAGAATTGCACTCACTGATGGATCTATTGGCCACGTAATTTTCTCAGTAACTCACGACTCCATCCCAGAAACCGACTGCGTTAGAGCAGAAACTAAGGTTCACCTCGGAATCCTTCAGCCAATTTCCGACACAAGGTAAAAACCCTCCCAAAATTTCCAACAACAAACGCAACTTTCACAATAAAAATTCAAACCTTTTCCAACTTTCAAACTTCACTTTGTTGCGCTCATAATTCCAAATCTCCCTATCCATCCCCTCCCCACTCTAATCCTGCCTAATCCCAATCTGATCTGCTAAATCCCCTTGAACCACCAACCACCCACTGCTTGGTCAGCTCAACCCTTCTATTCCTTCTACTAAACACTCTCTTTAAGCTAGGTACTACTTTCATGGTTGCAACATATAGCTATATACCTTAATCATTGCTAACCTAACTCTAGCTGTGTACTTGTGAGTGCTGCCAAGATCGACCCTAAGGCAACTATTCCTCCAGAAGTCGGACTGAAGATGCTCGACAAGCAATATGAAGACTTTGTCAAGATGATGGCCGCCGTCGAGGCTTAGAGCGAAGGAAAGATTTTAGAACTTTACTCATAACCTTTGTTCTTTCAATCTGTCACGTGATTTCCGGGGTTTTGGGGTTTTGGGGTTTTGGGGTTTTGGGG